AGGGTTCTGGCCTCTTTGCCCTCTTTAAGTATGGCATCCCTTTCTGGGGGAGAGGGAGTGTGTCTGGCTAAGCACTCTGGGTCACCACCAGTGCTGGTCTCCCATGGGAGTGGTACCAGTTGGAGTATTCACAGATGCTGGCATTGGTTTTGAGCTGACTTGTGGCGTTGTGGAGAACGTTTTCTGAGTCTGGATGCAGCATTCTCACGTTCCTGATCAGTAACTGAGGATCTTCAGGTGTGTTGCTGTCTGTGCTGCTCAGGTTCTGACACATCCGAGGGGCCTCTTTCCTGGCTTAGCCATGCTGTAGGCACGGGATGGGAGGGTAGAACGGAGGTTCCTCACAGTTTTCCATCCTTGTGTGTGTTAGGTATTAGGTCTTCATTCTTGTGATTCTCTGTTTATTATCTGTTTATATTTTCTTTGTGGTCTTTCTCTTGAGGTAAAGTTAGTGTTATGATCCTAAACCTCTATTTGATTAGCGAGAGCTAGGGTGACTCCCTGTTGCTTCTCAGCCATCTTCCCAGCATCCTTTGCTCCAGAGTTTTTACTCTAAGGCTAGTTCTCTACCACTTGAGCTAAAATTCTGTTTCTGGCTTTTGGGTGGTTAATGGACTTTTCTGCCTAGACTGGCTTTAAACGGCCATATCTGATAACAGCCTTCTGAGTTGTTAGAATTATACACATTAGCTGTCAAGTGCTAATTTTTAAGATAATGTTACTTATAGATATTATTTGAAACCTGAGATATTAAAGAAGTTACCTTTGCTTCCGTTGTTGTATGGAAGATCTGTTCAGCTGACAGCACTTTGGATTAAGCAGACTTTCTTTAAAATCATAGTGAATTTAAGCTGCTTTAATTTTACCCGCCTTCATCCGGGTACCAGAATCTAACTGGGTAGACTGTGCTTGCTTAAGACACCATGCTATCTTAAAGTATAAATGTAATCAGGGAGCTGGTGCCCCAAACCTATAATCCTAGCTACTCAGGAGGCTGAGATTTGAAGACTGTGGTTTAAAGCCAGCCTGGCAACAAAGGTCTGTGAAACTCCTATCTTAAATTAACCACCAGAAAACTGGAAATCGAGCTGTGGCTCATAGTGGTAGAGCACTAGCCTTGACACGAAAGCTCAGAGAGCATGCTCTGGCCTTGAGTTCAAGATCTGTGACTGACAAAAAAGCATGAATGTATATGTTTGTTTTCTGTTACCATTTAGCAACTGTTCACCTAAAGGCCTATACCGTGAAGGCTTGGTCCCGAGCCTGAAACTTTTAAAGATAGGACCTGGTGAGAGGTTTTTTGGTCTTGGGGCATGCTCTGGGGTGGGGGGGTAAGACCTCAGCCCCTCCCCTTACCTCTCACCTGCTACAAAGTGAAAATAGCTATTCAACACATTCCTACCATGATGGGCTGCCCCGCCATGGGACCAAACACAATAGGACTGCATGAACACAGGCTGAAATCCCTAAAACCAGGCCAAAATAAGCCTTTCCTTTTTAAAAATTGATTAACTCAGGTATTCATTACAGTCACAGTGAGCTTATTAACACAGTGCCTTAACTGTAGACCAAAGTCTCCTATGATGAACATGCTTTGGGCAGGCCCAGGGCACCTCTCCAACCCTCTGCACACCATGCCCTCAGCAGCTCTGGGGAATCTCACCTCCACAAAAACCTTCAGGGCAAATGTGAGCTCTGGAACTCACCTGTGAGGTTATCTGTACAGGCTTGCTTTTTATATCAGATCTGTGATGAGTGTTTAAAACATTTATTCTGCACTTTACTTGTTTGAGTCAAGAGACTATTCAAATTTTCCAGTTCACTATAGTCTCAGAAACTGACACTTGATATATCCTTTTATCCTTTCATTGAACATAGTTTTGTTTAGTAGCACCATTATGCCAGACATTGTGTCAGGGTGACAGAGATAGGAAACCTGCACTAAACAGTCTCTGATCTCAACATGCACACAGAAAAACTCTGAATTACAATGTAAGACATGCTACATACAATACTTTAAAAAAGAAAGAAGTGGTAGAGATCTAATGTTATTTAATACATGAACCAGATGCTTTATATGTATGGAAAAAGAGTCCTAGGAAGTTAGTAGTATTATCTATATTGCCCATGAAAATAAATACACTTCTCAAGGATTATGGGGTTACTATTTAGTGGTCCTGAGTCTAGAAAGGCTTGATTCACAGTTCAGATATGGAAATATTACTGTTCAGGTGTCTTGGAAAGACAAGCATGTGAAATTAGAGTGTGAGAAGCAAAAAAGTGATAGGAAGTCAACATTAGATGTGATTTGGGGGATAGATTTGAAGTGTGAGCATGGCACTAGCAGGCAGAGAGTGGGTTAAAAAAATCATTCCACATAGTATATTATAAGTACATTAAGAAGAACAGCAACGAAGATAAAACCCCTTGTGTCCCTATCTTGGGGTTCATTTCTCTTAGCATCAGGTTATATGGTCATATATACATACCTTTTGACCTATTTTGCTTGTCCAAGACATATACTAATTATTGTAGATAAGGGAAACTATGGGACCTGTTTCTTTGAGTCTGGCTTACTTCACTTAATATAATTTTTTTCATGTCTTTCTATTTCCTAACAAATGGGGCAGTGTCATTCTTTCTGATGGAGGCATAGAATTACATTTTATATATATATATATATATATATATATACATATACATATACATATATATACATATACATATACACACACACACACACACACACACACACACACACACACACACACACACACACACACACACACACACATGTTGTGTTGGTAGCTTTAGTGTGGCCTTGTTTGTGATCATTTGGGTAAGTGCCTAAAAGTGGGATTGCTGGGTCATAGGGGAGATCTATGTGGAGTCTTTTGAGGGACCTCCATACTGCTTTCCAAAGTGGTTGAACAAATTTACATTCTCACTAACAATGCAGTAGGGTTCCCTTTTGGCCACATCCCCTCCAGCATCTGTTGTTATTAGAGTTCTTGATTATAGCCATTCTAACTGGGGTGAGGTGGACTCTCAATGTTGTTCTGATTTGCATTTCTTTTATGGCTAGAGAAGTTGAGCATTTCTTCATGTGTCTGTCTATTGGCCATTTTTATTTCTTCAGAGAAGTCTTTCTGTAAGTCTTTTTTTTTTTTTGGTTCCGGTCATGGGGCCTGAGCTCTGGGCCTAGGCGCTGTCCCTTAGCTCTTCAGCTCAAGGCTAGCGCTCTACCACTTGAGCCACACCACCACTTCTGGCTTTTTTTTTCTCTTTAAGTCTTTAGCCCACTTATTTATTGGGCAGTTGTTTCTTTGAGGATTTGTTATTGGGGGATTTAATTTTTTGAGTTCTAAGTATATTTTAGATATGAGACCCTTGTCCGTTGTATGGCTAGTGAAGATCTTCTCCCAGTCTATGGGCTTTCTATTGATCTAGCTATGTCCTTTGCCATGCAGAAGCTCTGCAGCTTCATGTTCTCCCCCATAGTACAACCCCTGTTGTCACTGTATTTGATTCTGGTGTCCTGAATCTTGTATATACATTTTTATAATTTGGGGAGGGAAAGGGAAATAACAAAATGCTGAAATAAGGATACAGGATGACCCATTGTAACAATGAGCTGTACACGACAGTATGTTGAAAACGAACTTTACGTCTTTGCGGGGGGCGGAGAGGGGGTGGCAGAGGGAGGAGTTGGTGGCATGGAGACAAAAGGGATGGTAGGGGAAATATGAAGGAGGGGGTAACAATGCCAGATAGGAAATGGACGCATTACCTTGCTCATGTAACTGTAACCGCTCTGTACAGTATCTTTACAATAAAAATATATATTAAAAAGCATTCCACATAGAACTATGTGAAATGATCAAGCCAAATTATTGAGCCCTTTAAGAATATGACATGGTCAGTTCACTAGGAGAATGAAGTGTATGAAGCAAGTCATTTGTATGGATATATAAGGCCAAAGAAACAGGAGAAAGATTTTTAAGGGGCTATTAGTTTATCTTATGATCACTACAACTGTGATATATCATGAAATGTCAGTTGGCTTGCTATGGCTTCATCTACCAGAATTTACTGTTTTCCTTCTGATAATGGCTGTCTTATTTTCTTTGGGAAATCCTTCAAGATGATAGTATGTAATTTTCATAAAACTGACTTTGCCTCCAGGTCCCAGGTGTTATGATGCAGGCTGGACAATTGGAACATTATATCCTTTTTCTTAATGACTCTATCAAGGATGGCATATGACCCAATGGCAGCCAGCAAGACTTGGTCTCATAGCTGTTGAGAAGATAGGATTTTCTAATTTGCCTCTATGGTGTATAAGAACATAGGTTGGAAGCCTGTCACCTCTGGATGCTGCTATCTTACCAACACAAAGGTGGAATCTACCTGAAACATGAAGTGACATAAGAAAGGAACAAAGCCAGCAGAGGAAAAGTGACACTGAGTCCCTGTGATATGATTGGTGTTTCTGGGTCCCATCAATGCCTGAACTTTCTACTTTAAGTTTTTGCTTTAGCAGTATATGATTTAATTGCTATACTTATAATCAAGAGTCTTGATTAACCTGAAGGCAAAATGCAACCTAAATAAGCTCAACAAATGATGCTGTATTAAAGCATCAGTATACCAGTACCATGATCCTACAAAGGCAAAAGCAGCTAGTAGATATGAAAAGATCCAGTCTACTACCTAATATAATATTGGATCTACTCTTCATAGAACCCTTGTGAGCTCCATATTGTAATTCTCTTTTACAACTGAGCTGAGGGATTTATGAAGTCACATACTGGCAAAGATTTGAACTAAGTACTTTCTTCTAAATCCCTTGTTCTTTCCACTCCTGCAGACAACTCAACAGGGTCAGATACTTGGTACATGAAGGTGTTCAATAAAGACTTGTAGAATAAATTACAATCTTGTTTACAAGATTTAAAATAATTTGCTAATAGTGATGAGTAAGAAGAAATGCAGCTTACCCTGACTTTGGGAGTGTCTGGTTAGTTTCCTGTCTTCAGGACAGGCCTTTGTCTGGATGATGTTGACCATGCTTTCCTGCTTTCCATCTGGCATGCAACTTCTATCTCTGTGGTCTCCAGGCATCTGGATTTTTCCAGGTGTCATTTCACAGACACCTACCTGTATATGCACAACAGGGAGAGTACTGTCGGGCTCTGACTGGTTAAATCACCTATTTGCTTATGCATGCTGTTTTTTTTTAACTCCTTATAGGTAACAACCATTTTTTAAAAAATTGTCTTTCTTGGGGCTTGAACTCAGGGCTTGGGTACTGTTACTGAAGCTTCTTTGCTCAAATCTAGTGTTTTATTACTTGAGCCACAGCTCTACTTCCAGATTTTTTAGTGGTTAATTGGACATAAGAGTCTCACAAACTTAACTGCCTGGGCTGGCTTTGAACCAGGATCCTCAGATCTCAGTTTCCTTAGTAGCTAGGATTATAGGTGTGAGCCACCAGCAGTCAGCTACAACAGCCATTTTTATTAATCATTCTTTAGAGCTTTCTTATTAGAGTCTAAGCTTACAGGGTATACACCCTGCCTTTCATTTACTTGTAAATGGCCAATGAAGGCCTAGCTCTGCCTATGGGTACAAGGCAGCACCAAGTATGAGGTGGGCTGTTTATACATTCCATCTCACTGTCATGATAGTACATAAAAAAACATCAGTAGTCTTCTCCACAGAGGGTTTAGGGAACTTAAATAGCCGGTGTTTGGTTCCATCATTTGTGATCTCCTGAGGCAAGATTCAATCCCAGAGCCTTGTCCTATGATAGTAAGGGAGGCTGGGTACTCTTTCTCCTTTCTGTTTGCTTGACAGTTTGTCTGTCAGCCCACCATTCTTGGTTCCTTCTTATGTCTTTCCGCTCTTGCTCCCTTCAGCACTTGTCTCCTGACTGAGAGAGTAGAGATGCAAGGACCAGACCATGTTCATGGTCTGGAGGTGGTACTGGTCACAGAGGTAGTACTTACAACGACCCACTTCCCTGGTTATAGAGGCTGTACTCACAATGACTAGAGTATAATGTAATACTACTTACAGAAGCGCCGCTCAGAGCCATGGAAACAGAGGACAGGCAGTCTATAAAACGTCACCCCTTGTACTGATTCTGTCACAGCTCTGAAACCATACCAGAGACTCCAAAACACAGATACCTTCAAAAGAGGGTTTAAATGTAGATCCTTTTCTGGATTTGGAGGCTGCAATTCATACGATTCTTTTTCCTTCATGTTTATATCTCCATCTTCATGTTCAGGCCTGGAATGTAAACAGTTATCAAAGAAAAGGGGAAGATGAGTATTTAGATTTGAGTGCATTGGTCAATCCTAAATGAAATGAATGAATAAGATATATTTAAACAGATGTCATTTTTTTAAATAAGGGACCAGGGTCAAATCAACTACCCAGTTAACTTCCCCGTGTTTCTGGCTGCTCTAGTCCATGCCAGAGTCTCAATATCTATTTAAATCATTTAACTCTCATGACCTATAGTATAATATCTAAGCCTCATTGTCTTCTAGAACTATTCTTTCCAATCCCGTGTGTCTTTGCTGTTACTTTTCTGCTTGAATCTAGACTCATAATTACCCAAGTCTACTGCCTTGTTGGAGAAAATGTGCCATTTGTTTAGGAATTTAGTGTCATACATTCCTTCTATGTCTTATATTGCTGACAAATACAAGACCCTTCTTGATTTGCCTAAAACATCTTACCTCTGAAAATCCTTGATTCCCCCAAGTGATCACACTGTTTCTGCTTTCCTATGCTTTATCCTTCTAAATGTCTCTCTATGGATCTATCTTCAATTCTTCATCATTGCCTTATAAAACAGTTTTTTGAGTGATTGTGACATGGGATTGATGCAGATGAGAGCAGAAGGAGGGGCAGGAGTACCAAGAACCTTTCATGACAGAACCAGTTCAGGCACTGGACCCATGAGCAACACCTAGAAAAAACCTAGTTCAATCCTGAGAGTCAGTGGCTAGACTAATGGGTTTGGAAGAGAAAACTTGCCTTAATTCTTGATGAGGGCTCTTCCAAGGCTGAAAGCAAAAAGGAAAACAGTCATTTTTCTAAATTTACCCAAATCAAGCTGTGTTGTTTGGTTACAGGCAGTAAAGGCAGACAGTGACCACAGAAAGTTCCGTTTGGAGCTGAGGATCCATCAGAAAAGAAAACAAGTGTTTCTGAAGTTAGAGAGTTATGACATGTGCATATGTGATTTGTTATTGACAAACTGTTTTTTGCACACCTTTCCAGGAACTCATGTGAAGGAAGAACTTCTGATCCATGTGAGAAAACAGGCATTTGTGGTACTTAAGCAGTGTTGCAGTGGAAGTATGGAAGGAATGCTGGATTTTTTCCCTTATTGATTTTTTTTTTTTGTCAGTCCTGGGGCCTGAACTCTGGGCCTGGGCGCTGTCCCTCAGCTCTTCAGCTCAAGGCTAGTGCTCCACCACTTGAGATACAGCAGCACCACTTCCGGCTTTTTCTGCTTATGTGGTGCTGAGGAATGGAACCCAGTGCCTCATGCTTGCAAGGCAAGCACTCTACCACTGAGCCACCATCCCAGCCCCCTCCCTTACTGATTTTGTGCTGGTCAAACCTCAGTTCTTACATTTCCTAGATATGTCTTCATTAAAATTGTGTCCCAGTGATCAAAATAGAACCTCTTATTTATTCAGTGATGGCACATCTGATGCCATTGATTATCCAGAACCTAGCCAAGAACCCTGAAGAAAACAGCAAATAAGCATCCACAATGCTGCTACAAAATCCAGGCATAATAGCTCCTATATTCTCCTTTGGGGCAATTCCTGCAGGTCTTCATCCAGAGGCTTCTTGACTCTTATTTACATCTGTTTCTAGCCAACTAAAGATGGCCCTGGTAGAATGAGGAGTCAGATCAATCTTGTTCTATATCTCTGCTACATTAATTCCAGTTTACTTAGCTGCATTGAGTCTTCATGTCTATATCTACAATACGAAAAAGGCACTACAGGTTTCCAGAGTAAATGTGAGGTTTAAGGGCTTCTGTGTAATTCCTGGCCAGCTAAAGGAACCATTGTAGACACAAAGATGACCAAAATGATAATTATCAGGAAAGAAAACAATTACAACAATGATAGGAAACAGAATCGTGGTGACTTGGTGTGAGGGTAACTAGCTCTTCTACGGGGTCAAAAAGCATTGTGTTAGAACATGAACTACACCCACTAAGACCCACATCCAAGATATTCCAAGTCATCAAGAAATGAGGATGTCAGAGCTCACTCACTAAGCCTAAAAGAGAATATAGAACGCACCTGAGGCTTTAAACATGAAAAATGCATTCCTGCTGTCTTGTTTCAAAGGGATGAAACTCGGTGACTGTCCTGGGAGGGTTCACTTGTGTAGAAGAGTTTATCACTTGTGGATATGGCCAGGGAAGTGAAGTATTTTACTAGACTAATTCTATTCCTAGATTCAGGAGTATGCATTTGATGAACACATTTTCACATCAAGCCTAAGAAAACTACAGCAGACAAGAATGAAATTCTAGACTAAGCATATCCAGTAAGCAAAGAGTAGAACCTTACCTGACATGAAAACCTGGGTAAGTACCTGTGATGTGCCAGTCCCCCTAGTAAGGCTCACGTACTTTGCCTTCATTCTCTCAGCAACTTGGTGAGATAAGTACAGCTCCTCTTACTTATTGAGAAGCCACTACTGTAGACAAGGTAACAAAGTACCTGCTTCCTGTCCCTGCTGAGACTCTTCCAATTTTCAGAGGCTATAACTACTGGGGCACAGGGAGGCAAAATGCTGTGTTCTAGGAACTTATTGTTGACTGGTGTGGATCTTATGCTTATCCCCACATGGACTCCCGGATGTGAGTGCTCTGATATCCCCAACTTCCAGCTGAGGAAACGGAGATGCAAGATGAAGTCTCCAGGGTCAGTGATTCTGCTTGGGCCCATGTAAACTGTTACATTGCTTCTAACTGGACATCTAGTACCATACCCAACAGGAGCCCAAGAAGTACCTTTGAAGGGCTGGTTGTTTTCTTGAAGGCACAAAATGCACATAGTTGGATTACATCCAGGGTTGTTGCTTTGACCTCTACAAGGGATAGTTATAAAGGGACAGGTGGTAATGGCCGCCACAGGTAAGGGGCTAGGGATAGACCACTCATCTACTCTGATCCCATTACATATTTTCTGATTCTTGTCATGACAAGGCTCAGGGTTCAGAATCTTACTTACTAGAATCTGGAAATACCCAAAGGAATAAGAAGAAAATCAGAAACAAAGGCCTTTACTCTCTTACAAAACTAAAAATAAACTACTTGAGAGTCAGTTCTCTAAGCTTATTTTAGTATGACATTGGTAACAAGAAAAGATACAATACCTTTTGGAGTTCTTCGATTTCAACTTCATAGGTAACTACAAAAACATGAAAGTATTTCAAGTCAACTCAGTTTGTCCACTTGTTCTTTAAAGCAGTTGTGCAAGAGTTCATTGTTTTTCCAAGCTCAAACATTGCCTTATGCAAGGCTCTGCCTACATGGTTTGGAAATTCTGGGGTCATTGATCATAGTTTGAATTTCTGTGGGGATTTCCAGAATAAATTTTAGAGCTAATGGAAACATAGGAAACCATTTTTAAGTGTCCTGGTTTAGTAAACAGATACATGTTTCCTGCTTCAAAGAAAGCACTGAAAATTAGTGTTGGCCTTTAAAAAGCAAACTTGAAAGGCAAAAAAGTAGTAAGAAAAGCCCACAAAGTGTTTTGTTTCCTTACTTACAGCTTAAAACCAGAACCCTACTGAGGCTTACATAACCTTTGATTTTTCAGATGGCTCTGTGGATTTTATGACATCATGATTCCCTTAATTATTAACAAATACAAAAATCCCAGACCTGCTTGCTACTTCCTACCTGGGAAATCTCAGACAAATTACATCATTTCTTTGGGCCTCTGATTGGTCATTGACCAGGAGGACTTGCCTTAGAGATATTACAAAGGTAGCATTATCTAACAAAGTGCCAAGGATTGAATAAAAAATGACATGATGATATATTTTTTTTCCATAAAATTGCTTCTTTTTTGTTCCTTTTTGCATGGAAGTATCTATAAAAATTCTGTCTCTCACTGTTAACAGACATGTGTGTGGATGGCAAGTAGGATCATTCTCTGTTTCTTCTTTCTTGTTGCTAGAATCCTAACATTTTTCTTACAAAACTGACGAAGGAACATGTTGCCTTTCTAGGACCTTATTATTAAAATATAATAATAATAATAATATAACCTTGTTTATGACACATTCAGATAAAAATGTCAAGCTCACAAGGTCAGTGTGTTGATAAAGTGTCGGGTTCTAGTGGCAAGCTTTACAGGCCAAACTTAGTCCCAGGTAGGAATTCGAGGTACAAAGGACTACAGCCTAGAGAGGCAGGAAGAGAGTGGGAATTATGAGAGAATATGGTCTTGGAATTGCTTATGCTGGGGCACTTACTTTCCATAGTTCTTTAACTTTCTCTGCCTCTTTTATCCAGGGAGGTAAGATGGCTATGACTAAATTAGAAAAACAGTAATTAAAAAAAACAGGTAGTATTTTTGTACCCATAGACAGCAGGAATTATGCTATCTGTTCAGATGCATAATTTCACTGAATTCCCCTGAGGATCACTACTAATCTAATATTCCAATGGACTGCTGAGGAAACAGGCACCCAGGGAAATGTAGTAACTAGGTCATTCAAGCGGGGGCTGGGGGGGCAGGCATAGGGAACGGCTTGCCAATTTTCTTCTATGAATTTGTTCATCTAAACACAATATTACCTGGAAATGTAAATAGAACTTCCTGGTGTGAAGGTAGCCTTGAGGGTAGCCAACCCTTTGAGAAACCTCTGGCCCTAGGAAACAGTCAGAGGACCTCTGAGGACAGTTCTGCAGAGATTCCAGAAGAGCATGGATGCTCATCATCTATGGTTAAATGCTCTGAAAATGGGCAAAACCTCACCAAGGCACCATGCTGAGCTACAAAACACAAGGAATGGCCTCTGCTCTCTTCATATTGCCTTCTTCCCCTATGACTTACAAAGAAGTCGGTGGAGCCTTAACCTTCATGGGCAAAGGAAGAAAGATCTCTTTAGGTTAACTCTAATTGTTATGGCATAAGAATTAAACCATAATATATTTTTTCAATGTATAGCAATGCAATTGCTTGAGTACCATTAGTTAAATGGTTATTTTTTTCTTCAGTTGAATTTACCTTTGAATCTTTTTTTTTTTTTTTGATGTTGCTGAGGTTCAAATCTTGGGTCTCATGTTTGCAGGTTGGGGCACTATCACTGAGCATACCTCCAGCCATTTTGTTTTAGCACATGTATTGGTTATTTTATTAGATTAAGTCTGACTTCCTGCACAGACGTGCACCTAGACCATGATCCTCCTTTTTCGGGCTTCCTTCCATAATTTGGATGACAGGCACAGCCAGCTTCCTCTGTCAGGAAGACGCTAAGGAGTCTCATGAACTTCCTTTTCCCAGGCTGACTTGCAACTGTGTTTCTCTCAAACTCAGCCTCCTATGTAGCTGGGATGACAGGCCTCTAGATAGCTATTAGTTGAGAAAGGGCCTCAAGCACTTGTTGTTGTTGTTGTTGGTCATGGGGCCTAAATTCTGGGCCTAGGTGCTGTCCCTCAGCTCTTCAGTTTAAGGCTAGCACTTTAACACTTGAGCCACAGCACCACTTCCAGCTTTTTCTGCTATGTGGTGCTGAGGAATCAAACCCAGGGCCTCATGCATGCAAGGCAAGTACTCTACCACTGAGCCATCTTCCCAGCCCAACCTCAAGCACTTTTAAGCCTGGCTGGACTGACCTTAAGCCATGATTCTCCAGATCTCAACTTCCCACACACCTTGAGAGAGATATATTTAACTGTTCTCAGCTGTTGGTTGAGAATGAGTCTCACATACAAGCCAAGGTTGGCCTTGAGCCATGATCTTTCTGACCTCAGCCTCCCACATAGCTAGGAGTACAAATGTGAGTGACAAGTATGCACACTTGCCTTTAAATCTTTGTAAACAGAAAAATCAGTTTAGCCTACTCCTTTTCCTGGGTTCTTTTTATTATCATTAGCAATAATAGTAGAGATTGATTACATCAGGTGAAGGATTCACTGTGATAATTCACTCTGATATGATAGAAGGTACTTTGATTGTCTTCACCTGCTCTATTGTTTTGGGGCTTTCAATTCTCTACCGCTGCTCCCCATGTTTCTCTAACAATACTACATAAACTTAATTACCATAGCTTAAGTCTTGGAATTGGTTGCCTGATATTTCCTACACTTTGTTTCAAAATTGTGTTTAGCTGCTTTATTTCCCTTGCATTCCCATACACATTTTAGAATAATCTTGTCTTTCTATATAGAACATCTTGCTGAGATTTTTATAGGAATTGCCTTAAACCTGTGTACCACTTGGGGAAAATTGAGAATTTTACTATCAATTTCTACTATATTGAGTCTTCTAATCCATAAACACAGTATGTCTCTTCACTTGTTTATATTTTCCTTGATTTATTTAATCCAAATTTTATAGTTTTCTGCATCTAGCTTATGCATGCTGTGTTAGATTTAAATCTACATCTTTATCTTTTTGGAAAGGTTTGAAAAAGTATTGTGTTGTCAGTTTTATCATTTATGTGTTCGTTGTTAGTATATAAAAATATAATTGTATCCTTAAACTAGCTGAACTCATTTGTTAGTTCAGGGAGGGGGCAGTATATTTGTTTGCTTTTGCTTTTTAATAAAATCCTTAGGAATATCTACCTAGACAATCATGTCAGTACAAATAAAGGCAGTATTAATTTTCCATTTTTAATCCATTTGTCTTTTATTTTCTTGTTTTACTGGCTGAAATTTTCAGTGCTCTGTTGAAGAGAAGTAGTAATTTAGGGCATTCTTTTCTTATTCTCAAATTTGGAGGGAAAGCATTCAGTGTTAATCACTTTGGGATTTTCTTTTTTTTAATTTTTATTTTTTATTGTGAAAATACTGTACAGAGGGGTTACAATTACATGGGCAAGATAGTGAGTACATTTCTTATCAAGCATTGTAGCCTCCTCCTTTGTTTACCCTTCCCATCCCTTCCCATCCTCCCTCCCCCCCATTCCCCCCCCCCCAAGTTGTAAAGTTCGTTTGCAACAGGACAACTTGTACTTCTCATTGTTGCAACAGGTCCACCTGCATCCTTATTTAAACAACATGTTTTTCCCCTTCCCCTCCACAAATTATACCGACATCAAATACAGTGAAAGCACGGGTTATACTGTGGGGGAGGGATCACTTTGGGATTTTCCTATTTCCAAGAACCTCTGTATCATGATTGCAGATGGAATATTGTTTATTGCTTTTTCTGAATGGATCCCAATATAGTTTCTTGGAAGCCCAGTGTATCCTGAGGAAGGAAGACTTAGAGAGAAGGTATAAGCAGCAACGTAGGGAAGCATTCTCACACACTGGCACAGGAGAGATGGTGGGGCAGGAGAGACTCATGTGGTCCAAGAAGAGAAGGTAACGGTTTGGAAAGAAGCTTCTTCTTGGCCCTTTCACATAATTGGCTTTGAAACATGATTGCTGTTTTTATTTTCAGCAATGGGGTTTGAACTCAGAACATTACAGTTCCATTGAAAACCTGAGTCAGATCCCCATGTCCTTTAGCTTCTAGTTATTTTTCATATATGGTCTTCTGTGGTTTTGCCTGTGCAGTCTCAGACCACAATCCTTCCATCAACATCTCCCTACTTGACTGTGATCCTCCTATATCTACCTCTCAAGTAGCTAGGATTATTAATGTGTGCCACTGTGTCTGGTTGACCCAAAGCTTTTTTATTCAAAGTGTGGTCTATACACTTTCAAGTCACCTGGGAACTTGTTAGATATAAAAAGCCTTAGGCCACACACAGAGTTTATATTTTGACAAGATTCCTGAGATTGCTCTAAAGCAGAGCATCAGATACTCTGGATGTAGGATGCAATTGTATACCAGTAGTCGTAGGGACCAGGAGTTGTTCACCTCATTATTAGGATTTTACAAAGCACATGGAGAATCCAGACTTCTCCCAGTTGATGAGGAAAAAAAAAGTTTTCTAAGTAGTTCTTTAAGTGCTTATTTCATTGGGTTAGGGAGAGGAGATTTCTTTCATAATTTCTTAAATGTATACTCCCAGGAAAGTGGTTTCCTCCCTAGAATCTTGAGCTTCTTGTCTGTAGAATAAGCACAACAGACCGATAATTTTTTGGAGGGTGGGGTTGTTTCTTCTCCCAGGGGAATCAAACCTCCTCGATTGAGGAGCAGCATCAGATTTTTGGAACTGGAGCTTGCTTCCCACGGTACTCGACCATGCAGGGCTTGTGGGAACTTGCATACCTATCCTTTCTGACTTTGTTTTCCTGTTTAATAATGGATAATAATAGTAATAATAATAATAAACATTCACAGAGGACTTGGAGGGCCTAGCACATTTTTCGCACATGCTCAGTAAATCCTAGTGTTTATTGCAGCATGAATGGTTATAGGTATTACAAAGAATTAGATGGTTGGACAGGTAAAGACATTAAAAACATGAAGAATTTATGAGTCCTTGCTTCTTCACCTTTAAAAAAAACAGGAAGGTTCTGTTTTTTACCGACAGGTCTGAAAATTGCCAATACCAGGCAATTAGCTCTGAGCTAACCTCTGATCTATTACACCAATTCCCTTCTCCTAGTCAGACTGAATATAAGGACATAATTCTACATGTTCTATAATCTCCCTTTCCACACACAGAGAAACCAGTCACTTTCTAAGGAACACCACCTGAAGAAAGATGAAGTTTCTCTAGAAAGTAAAGGAAGGCAAATGAGTCACCATATCTTGGTTCTTCCTTCCCACAAACCCACAAAAGACAGAGGTGCTAAGTCAATTGATGAAGAGCAAAGAAGCAGGAAAGAAAAAGTCAGCAGTAGTAGTTATAGATAGCATCTGTGCATACACACACACACACACACACACACACACACACACACACACACATGTATACATATATACATATATGTACACACACAGGGAGAGGAGAGAGAGAGAGAGAGAAGGAGGGTAGCTTATTGGAAATAAGAGTCTCATAGACTTTTCTGCCCAGGCTGGTTTTGAACCATAATTCTCATATCTCAGCCTCCTGGGTAGCTAGGATTACAGATGTGAGCCACCAGTGTCTGGCTACTTGTTATATTTTTTAAAAAGAAAAGAAAAATGAGATTGTTGAACAGAATGATTATGAATTTTTTTAGTAAGCTTGCGAGAAAAACCACTTTTGACACATTTTTTATTCCACACAGGGTTACAATATTAATTGGCTTAGCAGACTTACCATCAGCAATTTCTTCTACAGCACTGGGGTTAATGGAGTTGCTGCAGTGTCTCAGATAGGAAATGGTTGCCTCATAATTATGTGGTTCTTCAAATTCAGCACTGAAAAGCAGGGAGAAAGAAGGTAACTTAAAACATTTCTTTAATCTCATTTTAGAGCTCTTTGTACATCTTGCTCACTAGAGAATTAATGTAAGTATGTCTAGTCAATATGGTGACCTCAGTAGATTCAGAAGGCAGATGTCACCTCCCTCCAATGCACAGCAACTCAGGATAAAATATAACAGTAAAATCTTGCATAAAGATTACATACTTCACATAGAAGTCAATGCAGTAAGACCCCCAGATGCCAAGCACAGTGAGAAAACGGATAAGCAAAGGCGAAAATGAGGATTGTAGTGAAGGGATAGCCAGGAAACTTAAGACCAGATAAAGAGGAGACTTCATGGCTGGGTGGCTAAGAACTTATTATTAGAGTCAGAAGGTAATTCTGAGCCACAGACCTCATGTGAATGGGAAGCTGCCTTTGAGATCTCAGCAAAAAGTCCACAAAATGCTGACCCATCTATAAAATAAGTTCTCAGAAATATCTGTGCTGTGCACTCACTCAGTGAGCGAGCAAGAAAGCTTGCTCTCGGACTGTGGCCACAGAAGATGAAAGAATCAGTCACACAAAAATAAGAAACTCATAAATTTCCCCCCAATTACAGATATAAGGTCTACATTCAATCAATTGATGTATGGAAGAGACAAAAAAAACCCCACAAAACTGCAACTTGAAATCCTGATCTTGCTTGTAAAGACAAATCTAAAATGTATAAAGAACGAACTTCCACCCATAACAATTATGATTTCCAAAGAAAACATGCTACTTAGGATTTACAAAGGTAAACCAGCTTAACATCCCAAACTGGAAACCACACAGGACATGAGCCCACCCAGGACTGTCAGAGAGATAGAACTCGTGGTAAATTAAATGATAGAATTAAAGAAAATGGATTTAAAATAATAAATAAGAAATAAACAATAAAATCTATTGCATAAGAACAAGAGGTTTAGGATCAAGGGAAAGGAGTTAAAGAACTCATAAGTATAATTCTTGAAAAAATAATGTAGAAGTTGGAAAAGTTGACTAGATAAAGGGACTAGAGGGACTTAGTAAACTAGTTACACCTGAGGAAAAATTAATCAGAATAAGGTGCAGAGAGTACCAGGTAGAAAATACTGAAATTAAGTGAGGGAGGATGGAATTGGAAGGCCCAGCACATAAATGAGGGATAGTGGAATGGAGAGAGGAGGAGGGGGGGGATAATGTAAAGGTCCATATTCAAATAAGAGACAAGACATTTGTCAGTTGTGGGGCTTGAACTCTGGGCTTGGGTGCTATCCCTCGGCTTTTCAGCTCAAGCAAGTGCTCTACCACTTGAGTTACAGAGCCACTTCCGGTTTTCTAGTGGTTTATTGGAGATAAGAGTCTCAAGGACTTTCTTGCCCAGGCAGGCTTTGAACCGTGATTCTCATATCCCAACTTCCTGACTAGTTTAGGATTACAGGCGTGAGCCCCCGGCGCCCGGCCAGCAAGACTTTTTGAAGATTGAAAAGGCACATGTGTTTTTCCATTGAAGTAGCTTCAATAATGAGAAACGACAACAAACTCACACATCCTGTTTGTAATAAATTAGCACAAAACAACTAATAACATAAAATCCATGTGAGAGAAAAGACAATTTGTCTTCTATGGACAGAAATCCAGATTGGCCATGAACTACTCATTAGTATAGTAGTGGATTGAGATTGTAGTTAATACCTTAAACACTGAGGAGAGAAAGCTGGCACTATAAAACTATCTCAACTCAGGTTCCACTTAATGATGAGGGGAAAATAGATGAGTGCATACATTAACTACTCACAGATCCTACTAAAATACCTCATAATGACATATTCTGGTGCAAAGAAATTAAACTAGTAATAAAGTCAGGTATAAGGAACAACAGCAAACAGACTAATGAAACTTTGGCAAAACTAAATAAATATCAACTGTAAGATTAGTATTTAGAAAGGTTGCAGAGTAAGATGAAATAAGAATTTGAAATAATAATATGTAAATTAATTTTAGGTCTTTGTAATATTTAGGAGCAAGATAGTGATTTTGATTAACATTAGACTTTCTTATATTGCAGGTGTCAATTATTGCAGTAAAAAAGAATGGAAATAGATTAACTTCTCAATAGGTAAAAGTTATTCAACTGAAAGCTTAAATGTTAGAGAAAAAAGTAGAAAAGAAAGACAAACATAGGAATAAGAAAATTATAATGGCAAAATTTCAAAACTGATCAGAAATTTCAATAAATGCTTACAGATTTCCTACAGTGGTAAGATAAAGTTATATCCAACTGAATAGTTAATGCTGCTTAAAGTAGTTTAAACACCAAAGATCGCACATATATTGATGGAAAAAGACATTTACACCAAATTACTACCAAAGGAAAGTTGAATATTAATTAATTTTTAGATTAAAATTAAATCAGGCTTATTAATATTACATTTTGGCATGATCAAGAAGACGAGAAAGAGCAAATAAATAGTGTACACCTGTGCACACTCCCAAATTATAGATAAGAAAGAGCTGTGGCTCATGCCTGCAATACTAGCTACTCAGTAGCCTGATTGCTGGAGGATCAGATCAGCATGGGCAGAAAAGTTTACTACAGTCCATTTCCAAAATAACTAGCAGAAAATCATGACTATAGGAATTGCTCAAATAGTAGAGCATCAGCCTAGCAAACACAAGGCTCTAAATTCAAACATCAGTACGACAAAGAGCAAGAGCAAGAGTGAGCAAGAGAGCAAGAGAGCGAGAGAGCGAGATATGGTATTATTTTTGTATTTCCTTTTGGGACTAAGTCTTACTATGTAGCCTAAGTGGGCCTTGAACTTTGGGATCCTCTTGCCTGAGTTTCTCCAGTGCTAAGATTACAAGTATAAATCAGCATGCTCAGCTTACAGATCATTTTAGGTTCTCAAAGATCTAAGAAAATGTTATAATCAGTTCTCTGCCAATATGTGAAAATTTTAGAGAAAACTGGAAATTTTGTATAGAAACATAAATTCCCACACTGACTGAGGAAAAAGTCATAAACAAAGAATGAGCAGGTCAATAATCATTAAAGGACTTAAATCTGTTGAGCAACATATAACTACTCTTTCCTTTGTCCCTCTCCATGATATTATACGTTCATTTGAATAGACAGTTTTAGGGGCCAGAAAAATTGGAAAACCTATTCAACTTAAAAGAATAGTATAATTTTGATTTGCAAACCATGAAATGATCAAATAATTTTTAAAAATGCAGCACAATCTCATGATATTTAGCTCAAATCTCCTAAATAAAATCTTGGAAAGATTAATTAAGCAATACTGAAACTTAAGAACAACTAAAATCTATTCCAAATGTCAAGAATGGCTCAACATTAAAGATGTACCATTGTAACTGATCACATTGTTTTAATAAGAGAGGCGGGGGGGAAGATTACAGATGCCAAAAAGAGTATTGTATTAAGGAAGTGTGTTCTTCCTTAGCTAGTTTAACCTCCAACAAATACCATCTTTAATGGTGAAAGATAACAAAGAGTTAATATGTATGAAAATTCTAATGGGAATTTTGTGCTGATAGCAAAAAAGATGAATCCATGGAAAATTGGGACAAAATTATATGAGAGTCATTAACAAAAAGGTAAAATAGAATGGCCTATAACATTTAAATTCCAAAACTCTCAGTAAACAGGAAAATAGAGACCATGAGACTTTAGTTCACACCTGTAGAATTAGCAAGAATCTGTTTGAAAACACCCCATTTGGCAAGAAAATGGAGAAGTACATCTTTTTATATTGTAAAGGTGATGAATCGAATTAAAGGGTTACAGTTATATAACTAAGGTAATGAGTACGTTTCTTTCTTATTTTTTTTTTTTGGTTCTGGTCGTGGGGCCTGAACTCTGGGCCTGGGTGCTGTCCCTCAGCTCTTCAGCTCAAGGCTAGCACTCTAGCACTTGAGCCACAGCGCCACTTCCCACTTTTGTTTTCTTTTTGCTTATGTGGTGCTGAGGAATCGAACCCAGGGCCTCAGGCATGCAAGGCAAGCGCTCTACCACTGAGCCACCTTCCCAGACCGAGTACGTTTCTTTTTAAACACTGTTACCCCCTCCCTCACTTTCTCCTGCTTACCACACCCCACTCCTCTAGGAGATCTTTACACAGTCTCAAGAATAAGACTTGACACGACCATCTCAGAAGGTAATTTTTCCATATCAATAACACTGAGTTGATTATTATTATTATTATTATGTGATTCTACTAAATCAGAAGCTTCAGAAAACTTGCTTATATTCACCTAGAAACCTAGGATGATTTTTTCAACATTATTTGAAATGCAAAAATTTAAAAGCACTCAAATGTCTTTCAGTCAAGAGAATAAATAAGCAAATGGTGGTATGTTTATTTGGTGATATAAAATACAGCAATTAAACTGATAAATGAAATGTAAGTATATCTGCATGGAAAATAGCTTTGTTCGCAGAAGCAAGTGGTAGGAAGATGAAATAACATAGCACTTAGACAAACGTTTAAAATAATGTATCTTTAAAAGATGTAGGAGTTGATAAATGGAGTCTAAGCATATTCCCCAGTTCACAATAGGTGGGAAGGTCTGACTGGGAAGAAAGGAGAGAAGAGAAGATAGAAGTTGGCCTGGCAGGAGAAAAAGAAAAATGGCAACCTGGAATATAAAAAAGGGACCTCAACTTTTTCCATTACAGATGGAAAATTCCAGCTACTTCACACAAAGTGTGAATAGTCTGAAGGAGAAATGATTTCCCATAAGCCTGTTGGCTTTTTCACATATGTAATCGGTGTTGACATTTTGATATTCTCCTTGATTGTGCTCTTTTCTATGTACATTCATGAAGTTGTCAACCCAGAAAATATAAAGATTCAGGGTCTCTTTTCCTTCTTTTCCTCCACGCTTAGCACATCCTACCAAATTCATTCTCTTTGTTGTTTGATCACTTTGCTGCTTTACTGTTTTCCATCATTTTTTTTCAAAT